TATTACTACTTGGACCCTTTGGGTTTAGAATTATTGCGTATATATCGTAAACCCTAAACCCTAAACCCTAAACCTCAAAGTCTTCGATCTTTCTCCGTCTCGGCTCTGTCGCCAGGCATGGTGCCATCCGTGGCTGAGAAGCTCATCGGAAAGGCCAGGCGGCCCACAGTTCCACAGCCCTTCAAAAGGGAGCCTTTAAAGGAACTCTAGGATAGGGTTTAGGGTTTAGGGTTTAGGGTTCAGGGTTCAGGGTTTAGGGTTTAGGGTTTAGGGTTTAGGGGTTTAGGGGTTTAGGGGTTTAGGGTTTAGGAAAGGGANNAAAGGGAGCCTTTAAAGGAACTCTAGGATAGGGTTTAGGGTTTAGGGTTTAGGGTTCAGGGTTCAGGGTTTAGGGTTTAGGGTTTAGGGTTTAGGGGTTTAGGGGTTTAGGGGTTTAGGGTTTAGGAAAGGGAGCCTTTAAAGGAACTCTAGGATAGGGTTTAGGGTTTAGGGTTTAGGGTTTAGGGTTTAGTACCTGTAAAAAAGAATCCTACTATAGAACCTTATAGTAGTCTTGAAGGGAACCCGTCAGGTAAGGGTTTAGGGTTTAGGGTAGCCAGAATCGCCAAGACGGCTCAAGGTTACCTGAGGCTGACATGGACTTACTTTGCAGGTTCTTATTCCAAACATAAACTCGAATATGGAATGTATAGGGGGGCCCCTACGGAAAGATTAGGGCTATGGGTCGTTCAAGCTATGGATTTGGGGTTTGTTCCGACTGTGCAGACTTTGAACAGATCGTGTTATGTATGGTTTGAGGGCAAACCCTAATACCCTAAACTATAGATTTTAAGGCCCTACACCCTACGCTATAAACCCTAAACCCTATAAACCCTAAACCCTAAACCCTAAACCCCAAGTAAACCCTAACCCCAAAGGGCTCCTCTTATGGGATCTACAGGGGGTTCCTTTACGGGCTCCTTTAGGGGACCTACAAACCCTAAACCCTAAAACCTACTAAACCCTAAAAAACCCTAAACCGTACTAAAACCCTTACTAAAACTCTACTAAAACTCTACTAAACCCTACTAAACCCTACTACGGCCTAAAAAACCCTAAACCGTACTAAAACTCTACTAAGCCCTACTAAACCCTACTAAACCCTACAGGAGGTTCCTTTCTAAGGCCAGGCCCGAAGTCTTTGGAACGTTCCCAATTTACGCTCCAGGCCGGCTTTCAAACCCTTCAGGCCTTAGCCTCAAGGACCCGGTTTAAGGTTTAGGGTTTAGGGTTTAGGGTTTAGGGTTTAGGGTTTAGGGTAGTTCTTTTTTGGGGATGATATCTAGAATCCTATAAGGTAACCCCCACAAGGAACTACTATGGGGCCTATGGGTAACCTTAAGGACCCTGCTACCCATAGGCCCCATAGTAGTTCCTTTTTGGGGTTACCTTATAGGATTCTATGTATATATATATATATACATATATATATATGTATATATATATATATATATGAACCCCAAAAAAAGAATCACTTTAGGGCCTATGGCTGTAGGGTTTAGGGCTTTGGGTTTAGGGTTTAGGGGAAACTCCTTAGACCTGGCATCCAACTGTACAGTCTACGACCCTTGATAGTAAGAGCCTCTAAATACTGAATAATACTGTAAGGCCCTCAAAAGCAAGACCTGCCTTTGGTGAGGCCCAAACGCCCAAAACCCCCTGAAACGCTAGGCCAGAAACCCCTGAAACCCTAACAAAAAACCTATAAACCCGTAAACCTAGACACCCAAAACCCCTTAAACCCTACGCCCCTTCACCCCTAAACGGTAGTTCGACTCAGCAGCATCTCTTCGACTCGAGCACCCAAAAATTGTTAAAAGCCCTACATTTAGGGTTTAGGGTCCAGGGTTTAGGGTTTAGGGTTCCGAGCCGGAGGGCTACAAGATCATCGTGGAAGCGGGCGCAGGGGCCAAAAGCGGCATCCCGGATTCGGCTTACAAGGCCAGGTGTTGTTTGAAGGGGGAAGGGCAGGGCGGGAGAAGGCGGGAGGAAGGACCCAGAGACTCCAATACCCCTTAATTCAGGAACATACCTTAAATTATGGTAGGATCCCTAATAAGATTGAAGGTATATTCCTTAATTAAGGGGTATTGGAGTCTCTGGGGAGGGGTTCACGGTTTCATTAGGGTAATATAGGAGCCTAAATAATTACCTATACCATTTTGGGGGTTCCTTATTATTACTGTAGTATAGTATACCCCAAAACCGTATTCGAATTATCAAGGCACCTACATTATAGGGTTTGGGGAGGTCGTGTTTTTGTTTCGGGTCTGCGCTTTTAGAGTAGATTTAAGCGGTTTGAGTTTGGGAGTTGAGGCTCTTCGCGGGTTTAGGCTTTAGGGTTTAGGGTGACAAGTAGTGGCTTTGGACTACCTTGAGAGCCCAAAACCTACTTTTATGTAGGGTCCCTATAAATCCCATATTAGGGTTTGTAATAAGAACCCACGAAAAAGTGGGTTTTGGGTTCTTGAGGTAGAGGCTCTGCCCGAACGGTTTAGGGATTAGGGTTCAGGGCAAAGCCCAGGAACCGCCGCGCTGAAACCTTGAACCCAACGAGGTGGCTCGGTTCTGGGGTCTTGAGCGCAAAGCCCCTAGGGTTTACGAATACGTTGAACGAAGTACGAACCCTGACATGCTAAAACCATCCCAAGGGCTCCAGTTACCTAAATAGTAGGTTACTAACCCTATATTATGTACCCCAGTAACCTACTATTTAGGTAACTGGAGCCCTAGGGCATTATGATCCTTAGACTCAGACACCCTGAGCCCCTTTAAATTACACGCCCTAAACGGTGAAACCTTGAATTCAAGTCAGACATGGTCGCCAGAACCTGACAGTCCCAAACCCAGAGACTCCAATACCCCTTGATTAAGGAATATACCTTAAATCTTATTAGGGATCCTACTATAATTTAAGGTATATTCCTTAATTAAGGGGTATTGGAGTCTCTGGGAACTGTGCGCCCAGCTTGCCAGGCAGTCGGGTGCAGCATCGCTTCCAGAAATCAGGCGCGGAGCCGGCAGTCATCCAACAGTCTCAGGGTTCAGTGTAATACAGAAGCTTAAATAATTACCCATACTATTCCGTAGGGTCCCTTATTATAAACCTATCCTATATACACCAAAACCCTATTCTACTTATCAAGCTTGTTATAAACCTGTTCTAACATACACCCAAGCCCTATTTCCATCATTATTAAGGCACCTTTTTAGAGGGTTCAGGTT